TGCGAGAGAGAGAGAGAGAGTGAGAGAGAGAGAGAGAGAGAGAGAGAGAGAGAGAAAGAGAGAGAGAGAGAGTTTTCACGTATGCCCTACTCTCTCAATTTCATATATTTTATCTTAGTTCCACTTGTACATTTTTCACCAACATCAGACCATTATGATGAAAATATATATTTCTACAGCAGGAAAAAATATATCTTTTAAAAAAGTGTACGAAGAAGCAGTATTACGTTCTTTTTAGGGCCTATACAGTATGATAACGTTATTAACGTGCAGCAAATGGCTGTACTTAAAGAGCTCCCTGAGTAGGAACAATATTAAATTAACTGAGTCTACTTTCGCTCTCTTTATTTTTATTTTTGTTGTTGTTGTTGTTGTTGTTGTTGTTGTTGTTGTTGTTCTGAGCTCGACATTCAGACCCGAGGAACCGAAGCCGACAAAATGTAAGCCTTATTTCAATCACTAATGAACATGTAACTTAACAACTTTCCTCCATGAAATTCAACCATAGTCCAGACCAAAAACCATAGATTTATTCACAGAATTATGGAAAAGAACCACAAACTTACCACAGAGCGGTGCAAATATTATTATAAAAACACGATCACATTCACGAAGCACCTGAAATGTATCACTACATCAGTAATCCTTTCGGAATCCTAATTTTTCCTCAAATTGCAGTTTAACAAAAACTAAGGCAGTCCTGAACTTTTTCCCAAGTTTTAGCCTAGAGCCGTGTCCACTACCAAAACAAACCCAAGAGAAATAACAGGGAAAAATTCACGACAACCCCAGCGTATAAGAAATCGATAAAGAAGAGGTCGGGTTAAAAATATTATGACAAAAGCAAATAACGCACCTTTCACTCCCTGAAACAGGCAGACAAATAAACGAGGAATACCGCTGTGTAAATAAAAGAGCAAGGTGAGCTTACGATAAATCGCCGTAAATACCGGCTTCCCATTCAATGCCATGCCTTTCCCCTCTTATTTCTCCTTTCTGTCAGATTCGTCTTTGTCACCGACGGCCGATCATACACGTATATTCAGTGATAGTCCCTAAGAGATAGGGACAATGGGCCATTTTAATCTTTAGAAAAGGTCCGTTCAATAGGCGCTGTTCTTCAATAGCATGGGAGGGAAGCCACTTTTGAAAGTTCGCAAAGGGCCGATAAGCCAGCCGAATTGATCGCGGATCGAAGACCGTGCAGATTTCTGACTCTGAGTTCATGTTGTTCCTATAGTTGCGATAGAGTGCTTCGATTGTAATATTGAAACTGGTCGTGGATTTAGATGGAGAATCAAGTTTCTCGTTCTTCCAGGAATACACGAGGCAATAACCAATTTAATGCCGGGGTCGAATCGAATTATCAACACTATGCCCCTTTGAATGACCTGTACTACATGCGTGGGCACTAAACTTTTAGTAAAATCTCTCTCTCTCTCTCTCTCTCTCTCTCTCTCTCTCTCTCTCTCTCTCTCTCTCTC